TTTTTTACTTTTCCACGTTTCCTTAGGATCGGGCAGATCGCACACGTTGCCTGCAGATAGCTCTCAAAATCTGCAACTTCTGTTTTGGCATACGGCGGATTCATTTGGGACTTTCGAGGGCTTCCATCCGCTAGCATAGTTTTATAGGGTGCTCTTCTCGCCCTTGAATTCCTCTGCTAGAATATCGATCTGACCGCTGCACATAGATCTTGACAAGAGGCCTCTTTAGAACATAAACCTATGCCAGTTTACTCTCGGTTCCCATGGAGTTTTCTCCGACTATGGAAACGATTATGGTCAGTATGAGTTCATACCAGACGCAAGTGTGGGCATATTATCCTGGACCGGGTAATGGATTTGATTCATACTTTTCGGGCTTCTTTTCATATCACACGGGGGCAATCCGTAAGTTAGAGGGGAGGGGAGGATGACAGCATCTTATCTCGAGGGGCGTTGCCCAATTAATGTGCTTATGTTCCAACTCACTGAAAGGTGTGGCATCGCGACGAATTTGCCAGAAGTCACCGCGTGCACAGACCGGACGATGGCTACACACGAAAAGGCTACATGTAGAACACAGCTCGCGTTCTTGTGTAGTTGAAATTGGCCAATCAAGAATTGGTGCCTGCACCTGAGCCAATGGCCGACAGGCCTACCCGGACCCTGCCGGCCTCGATCTATTCTGATGCACGTGGCCGCCGACTAACCGAGCTTTTCGCTGACCTCGGGGACTTTGCCATCCGTTGACTGCGATCATTGGCGCTTCCAGCTCGTCTTTTCGAGAAGTCGGCTCCACCAGCCCTTTACCGGTTGGAGTAATCCGAGGAGCTGGCGTTCGTTCCGGGAGGTAGACTGGAGGAAGATGATAAAGGATCCCAGGAACTGAGAGACTACCACCATCACTTTTTTGTTCTATCCTCGTTGTTAGTGGCGCCGGCTCCCGAGTTTACGACGCCGCGGGTCATTTTCGCCCATTTCTGGATTGAATTACGGGGATGACACCATGATGCACATTTGAGGCATCCGTTCAAATCGGCCGGATAGAGCCTCTTAAGAGATGTTGGGTTGGTTTGAACACCAGATAATAAGATCAAAAATGAGCCCAAAGACGGCCTTCATAAATTCTGCCCGCTTGTTCGAGTGGCCACATCGACGCCGTCGCCTGCCAACGCCGGACAAACCGGGGCACATGTGGAAACTGGTTTAACCATTTAACAACCAGTTTAATTTTTGCGCCGCTGTGCTGTAGGACTTCCTGAGTTATGCGGGGTATGTTTCGGTTCCGGTCAGGTTTTAACTGAATAGACCTCAGAAGCCACTTGCAAATATGCCTCTTCTCCGAGACGGAAGGAGTCAGCCAGTCAGACGTGTGTCAGCCGCTCCGGTACCCCTCCCCCCCTGTTCGGTTGCAATGCGTTACGCCTGCGCACACTAACTTTCGCCGCCTCGCGTGTCGGACCACCTGGCTTGTTACCTATGTTATCTGTCATCATTCACCCTAGACTCTGCCCACCAAAAAAATCAATGCTATGACCATCACTCAGCTAGACATGCACTCATGCTGGTGCAGACATACACTCCCGCGTAAGAACGCACCGCGACTGACGCACTCCCGGACAGTCGCTTTGCTCTGACAAGCAAAAGGCTAACTCACGGTAGCTTGCCCTGCATACAGAATGAACCTGTTCTCACGGTTACCTGACTTCTGACGTTGGACGGAACGGAATTATTGTGTGATTGCAGTTGGTCTTACACCCTTGACCGCCATAAATGGGTGTCCCCGACGTGATGCGAACACGTAACCTGATATGGAGTCACAGATGTCATGTATGCTTGAGGTTATGATAGGACTTAGCTTTTCATAAGTATGCAGCTATTGTTAATGCACTTACTATCATCAGCGCTGGTCTAGGCAGCTTCTAAGCCTACGGCATCAAGAAACAGTGAGTTCGATGTCTTGAAATCGGCGGGCATTCTATCGTTCCACAGATGACACCCGTCCCCAATGCCAAAGACTATCGGGCCCACCATCTCCGAGCATGCTTTAACCTTATCTGCTCATTATCCATCATGAGGTCAAATTCGACTGGTATTCAGCAAAGTGACACCATGAACAAGCTCTGTTAGGGTCAGCAGACTTTATGATCAGATCATCCGAGACAGCGACGCATTGCTACCTCCCTGACAGGCGTCTGCGGCTAATGGTGAAGTCCTACGTGTGAACAGTGATTAGCGAAAAGAAACCGCGACATTACTCAGAAATTTTAGTCAAAAGCATGATCTGTCTCCCATCAAAAGAGCTTAGAGGGCAATTCTTGCCACAAACTGCAAATGTTTTTCTTCGTGGCTACGCACATGGAGTACTGTCTTCCGTTAGACTTTGCAGCAAAGCAATAGGCACTTTCACCGTCGGCAGAAAATATTTTGCGCAGACCATATGTGGCGGTTTATCTCATCACTTTTCCATATGTCCATGTGGGACCGAGCTAAACAAAATAATCGACCGTCCCAAGCCTTTTCTCGTCTTTGTGAAGGTAGTATGTCTCGCGTTGTGAAATCGTAGAACAACACTTGCGTATTTTCCATTCGTGTTTACTGTAAGCGATGATTAAAAGGATAAAGGCATACTGTGCATCCTCGACAGAACCTCCATTTAGGGTGATATCTTTGGCACAAGACGTACCCCTTACGGACGCTAGTTTTAACATAAAAGTAGTTTCACTTTTCCCCGTGGGCCCTTACTTTTGTTTTTGTGTGTCCTGATCGAGCTCGTTAGCTGTCAGGAAAAATTTCTGTCGACTGCAGATGAATTGCGGGAAAACAACGTCCGTATGTTGGGATCCGTCTAAGATGGACATCTGGTCGGGATAGCCTCAGTCAGAACGAAAACTGTTCCGAGTTTTCCTTGTCCGTGCACCCCTGACAAGGTAGAAATGGCTCAGTAGCCCTCTAGCAAAGACGAGATGGATTTGGCTGGCGTCCCTGTAGCTGTCTGTGCCTCAATCCCGTAGTATAAACTGCATGTTCCAGATATAAGAATAGCTTATCAAAAAGCTTAAACGTGACCTCGATACAGCCCGTATGATTTTTGGATGGGAGCCCGTCTTTACCCTTAGCTTTGTTGTTTCGAGGATGAATTAAGTTTTTAATCCCGACGGCAGACTACGATGCACGTCCAGTTTTGGGGGATACTTTGTGGAAGAGGTTTCAATAGACTAATCCAAAGATGGATGGACAGTTTGATAAAATTATTCATACGCTTCAGTAGGTATTAAGTTAACGTTGTGGTGTAAGGGCTTAAATTCATTTAGGTGACATGAGGATACGCTTGGCCGTCCTGCACGAGAATTGAGGAGGTAAATAAGAGGTTTCTTGCACTGCCGACGTCAAAGACGTTCTGAATCTGAGACCATGTCCTGTCAGTACTTATTCTGATCAGTCTCCAGTGGAAGTGCTGTATGGCGAAAATGCGTTCCAAAACATGGTCGCCGGCATTTCGGACGCTATTTAGGTGTGTAAGTGAAGCCTAAGCGATGGCATCCCCGAATGAGGCCCGCCGACTGCCCGTCCTTAGTTTCCACCAAGCAAGGCGGTCAGTGACGTCCCCAACTAGGCTATATGTTCTCGTTCATGCGTCGGATGCCTCGAAACGCAAACGCAGTCGCGCTCCTATGAGGATGTGCCATCGGTGCTGTTTTTCCCTGAGCGGCGCATTGTGCGACAGTCGGGCACTTCATTCACTCTGTCCTCGCTCACAAATATAGTCGATTTATGGGGTGGTCACCCCGTTATTCGTGCGAGGGGTCAGCAAATTATTGTCATGTCGTATGTAGGACAACATTCATGTGGAAACACCGTTTTCGCCTGCAACCTTTCCCATTTTCCCGTTTCTGAGTGTTAATGAAGAAGGTAGGCCAGTTGGTGGACATGCGTACGCCCCCAATAGTTCCTTAGCAGCCCTACGTAATCAATCGAGTTAAGTCACCATAGTGACGGAAATCGAAAAGGCCGGACCTGGGTCCGCAGGCTTCAGTTAGCAAGACGATCTACCCACTATGCCAATAGGGGCATACAGGTAGACGAAAGGTAGCCAACAGTGACCACCCAGGATCGGTGTGGTTGAAAAGTGCGCCAGCTACGAATAATCGGACCGGGCGACTCCAGCCCGCCGGCCCACTCCAACCTGTGATCCGACCAACTGTTTTAGGTCATGGTAACTAAAGGATCACGGCATGCCCTCCCGCTGCGTAGCAGTTGTCAACTCTGCCGCAGGCTACTTGGAAGGTTCCAGAGACACCCACCAGCAACGAGCGCCAGGCGGACGCGCTAGAATGTCGCTATTTACTCCCCCTTCTCATGACATACTGGAATGCCCTCCCACTCCCACAAGTAAAATCATTCAACTGGTATAACATGACCCAGGGGGCAATTTCGGAAATACCCGTATACAGCAGCCCGTGGCAAATCTAAGGAAGTATGGGCGGGGCCCGACCCTGTCATATCGTTACCAGTCCGCTCACTGTACAGCCCATAACGGCAATCAGACTAACTCGTGCCATCGTCCCAAGGCTGTGTTCTTCCGAAAGAAATTGGAAGCATTGAGAGAAACCCTTGGCGAGGGCAGTGGGCGGGACGTAGGGAGCACACTTGGTGGTCAATCCAAGAACCGGCCGACCCTATATTACAGATTCCCCTAACCGTTGTCGGCCCTGCAGGACAGAGGACACTTTAAGATCCTGAGCACAAGCCGTGTGGTCTTACATAGATACACCGCGCCCGGACAGATGTAAAAGCCCGAAGACAAGAAACGGCAAATAGCAACACACAGCTATCTGAACAAGTGGAGCTCAATAGGGATCATTGTGGTAGTGATCGCACGCCTGCCATACCTACAATGCGGCAATCGACGAGTCTACACTAACGGCGCACGAGCTCAAGAAATATGATTGTGAGGAACATATATTTCGCAACTTTCAAAATCAGAGGAATAAACACGATAATCATATTGCATCTATGTCAATCTCGTCATCGTCGTCCTCGACAGAGTCACTGCCGCTCTCCATATTAACTTCAGGTGATTTTGTCTTGTTCGGTGGGACCTCGGTCTAGCAAAATTAGGTAACTAAACGAAACATACCGATGAGGCCCTGTGAGCAGGCACCGCAGGGACCTTCTCGCTCTCATCTTCCTCTTCTTCTGAGGACTCTTCTTCAGCTTCCGCAAGCCATTTAAGCATGGGACTGCAGACCTCCGCTAGTTTAGCAGCAACTGGGGCCGACACAAACCGCTTGGCACCCTAGAGCTTCTTAGTCAATTTAATGGACTTACATTTTTCTCGAACCACGAGAGGATGACTTCCTCTTCAACGATGTCACAGTCGTACAAACCTTTGAGAATGTGGCAGGCCTTGTCCATTAAATTACAGGACGAATTCTTATCAATTATGATGGACATTGCTCCGAGGACGTAAGCCTGCGCCTTCTGGGCCTGCTCGCCAGTTCTGGTGAATTGTATGAACACAGAGCGGTATGTGGAAATGTCCGACAGCATTGTATTGGGATCCGAAAGAAGAACTTCAGCAACGACCAGGACGGCTCGGCTGCCTAGTTTAAGCCGTTCAGCTTCCATCTTCAAGTCATGAGCATGTGCGACAATATCACCCTTCTTCTTCATTTGGTCTACTTGTTTAAGAAATATATCAGCACGCTCAGAATCTGACTTTTCCACATCTGCGCTAAGGGCCAAGCGTCTGGCCAAGGCTGAAAGTTCACCCAATCGCTGCTGCTGCGCCTCCTCCGTGGTATCCTCGCCCCAATCGACGTCATCATCATCATCGCCGGCATATGCTCTAACTGGACTGCAGTGGCCGTTGTCACCAACGGGGGAATGTTCATCCTCATCTAGAGGGTGAGGTTTGGAGACAGAAACCTACCAGAGTTCTGCTCCCCATTTTTGACGCGACGGTTTTTTCGCCCACGCGAAGGCTCTTCCGATGCGGCCTCCTCAACTGGAGGATTTTTTATGATAAATTGCGTCAGCCGATGCCTTGGATCCAGTTGGCCACGATTGCCACATGCCTTGCAGGAGATCCCAACAACAGACGCCTTCTTTTTGACGTGCTTAAGTACTTAATGAAGCGTTTATTAGAAAAGTACCAAAGTGGTCTCTGGATTGCCGCAACTTGGACACAAGACAAACTTCTTGATAAAACCGTTTAGCAGGTCCTGGAGTTTGCCAGCATCATGAGCACCGTTTACTATGTACCGTTCGTTTTTTTCATCAACGTGAATCTGAGCCCCCAACTCACACCCGAAGTATTTGGTGACATCTGAACATGCTAAGCAGACGGATGTGGACTTACATATCGGCTTGCGATAGAGTGCCTTCGCTATGTCTGTGACGTTGACTATCACCGTTTTGATTCCGTTACCCTTCCCTTCGACCTAAAAACTGGTAAACGATACGTGCAAACACACCTTAGCCGAAAGTTTCGGCATTTTGTACCGGTAGAAGGTATCTTCAACCTCATGATTGATGTTGATTTCCATGATTGTTTACAGCAGCTACCATCAGCTTCAGAATTGTCACAAGCTTCGACCATGTAACAGGAGGCAGGTTGTTTGATATTGAACCAGCACTACCAAGGCGAGGACGTAGATGGACCAACAGTAAGCACGGTCCGCTGCCAGCCGACTGAGAGCGCGACGGCAAGAGTGACGGACGTCAACGGATTAAAACAAAACGTCTTAACATGGGGAAGGTTACCAGTATTTAGAGACCCCAAAAGGCTGGGGTAACGGGTTCGCCAGCATTTCTGCATCTTTTTCAGTTCACTTTGTTTTACAACGGGTATACTTTTTAACTTAGTTCTTAAATGTATTAAGGCGAGTGTTAATGCTCTGATTTACGTCTCAGGTTTAATGATGAAGGAACTTAGGAATTTCAGGTCCAGTCAGGAATGCGACCTATCTAAAGAGCCAAAAAGATAAAACCTGCCGGTATTACCTTTTCAGACGTTGAAAGGCCATGGGACTCAGGCCATACACTGAAGTATTAATCAGACATGAAGATTTTGCCTAGCAGAATATATCCATTATATTTTTCCCCAACAATCTGAACAAGGCTGAAAGACAAGTTTAACAAGACAAATCTCCTGCACCGGACATAAGAATCTGTCCGGTCGTGGTGGGATTATCCTCGGGGATGACGGCCCCTCTTACGCTAATTTTCGAGTACATGTGGCGGACGGCACTATCTGGCGCGTTGGATGGCGTGGTTTGTCGCCCTTTTCTTCCATTACTCACCAACAAGCGCGCGAAAAAACTGATCAGTAATCAATATTCCGTTTACCTCTTGTTCATGCTGGGGAGTGCATATCATGCCAGCGTGGACAAATTTCACTCAGTTTTCTCGTTCTGTCAAACGTAATTCTTAAACTGGTACACTGCTGTTATGCGCCACCTCAAGAGCGCAGTGCTCTGACACAAGCAAACTGCCAACCCACGACATCCTACCATGTGTACATAATAAATCGCCCCTATCCGTCCTCTGACCTCCCTTGTCAGACGTGACAAGTTTATTGTGTGTGGTTTAAGCTAATCTTATATCCTTGTTCGCTACAAATTAGTGACACAGATTTTCCAAACATGGGAATTTTTTGACGCTCCATCCACAATAATCGAATTCCTGCAATTTCCAGCGTGATGCCTCAGGGACGAACCTTTTATGGACCCGATTAGCGCCTGGGCCTATTCGGGCGGTTCATCATGCAAGTGATATTTCAAATCAGTACAGTTACCTCTGGAAACCCTCGGAAATCGCGAGCCCGTCGAAAGATTTTCTCAGTTTCCCGACACCCGCCGCCAAAAATCTTCAAGTGACTTGTGCTGGTATCACCAGCAATTCGAAGCAGCAACGAAACTATAGTTGCGATCATTCTCTTCCAAGCCACATCCAACTACACAGGGAAAATACTCCACCCGACAGTAGAGGTGACTACTGCTGCAATCCCTTCCAATCTTCATATTCGCCGTTTGTTCCTCTGGGACCGCACTGCTGGCGTCAAATTCCCCGTCGACTATGGTACATAGGTTAGGGTTGTCTCACCAGGAAATACTGATCGCAAATATCGCAGCTCTATTTGTCTCACGGCTGTTAACGTTTCTGGCATCTCAACTTCGAGTCAACGCTCTATCCCACTCGACTTGGGCCTTCGACGGATTTCTCGACAGGTTTCCGAAATCGCCGACGTTTCCGTCGCCATCATAGGTGTGGAGTTCCTGAACCGCTTCCACGTGCTATTCAGTATGAGGAATCTTCGACTGATCGACAGCCACGTGGACCTCCGTGTCTGTCAATTCGTGCCTCAACCCCCTTACTGTTTTGTCCAGTTCTAACTGTCTTTACCATCCACTTCTCGGGTAGATTTTCCGACTGACCAACCTCTCATTTCTAGTAGAGGACATCAAACACAGTCGTTTACCGTATTTCCATCACCAGACCTCCCAAATCTTGCCGATGGCGTCGTCTTAATCCGGACCGTTTGTAGATTTCCGAGGCAGAGTACGGGCAAATGCTTAAACTCGGAATAATATGACAGTCTGGCAGCTGCAGGACATCATGCCTTCACCTTGTTTCTAGGATGAATGGCCATTGCTGATCGTGTGACAACTACCAGGTTTTGAACTCAGTGACCATCCCTGACCGATATTCTGCCCCACATCTTGGAGATTTTACTATCTCGTTGCATGGCATGCGCGCATTATCCAGCGTTAATCTGATTCGCGGTTATCATAAAATATTAATTGAAGCCAGTAATGTGCTACAAAAACCGTAGCCACCGATCCCTTTGGGCTATTTGAACGTAATCATCTGCCCTTTAGTTTGAGGAATGCCAGTCAAAGTGTCCACCGGCTCAGTGACCAAATTCTGTGTGGCCCCGTCTTCGTTCGGGTCTACATCAATGATGTGCCGCTGGCGAGTTCTCGCCATTTCGGACAAGAGGTTCTACTCTGACAGCTATTCAAACGATTTGACTCTTCAATGTTGCAATCAACGTTGTTATTGCGAGCTTGAAGGCCCAGACACAGTTTTTGGCTCATATAGCGGACTCTGGAAGGATAAAACCTGTCCCTGAAGAAGTTCCAGTCACAAATATTTCCAGGCCCGTAGCCATCAGTCAGCTAAGCCGTCTTTTATGCATGATGTACTACTGTCATCGTTTTCCCCCACGATTTCACTATTATACAGTCATGCAACAACCCCTCCGCCCACTTCAAGAAGACACCGGTAATGACAGAGGGGGTTGCTAAGTCCTTAGCTGAAATTAAAGCCGCCCTGGGGAGTGCAACACTACTTGTCCGCCCCCTCTCATATGCACACCTAACCCTTCTGGCCGATTCTTCCAGCACTGCCATTGTTGCATTCCTCCAAGAAACGCTGGCTGTGTTTTACAGCTTCTGGCTTTCTTCCCAGAGAAGCTAAGTCAGGCAGAGGCCTGTTACAGCGTCTTCGGTTTAAAACTTCTTTATGTCTAGCCATCCGGCACTCCTGACTCCTTTCCCAGGATCGTCAATTCGTCGTGCTTACTGAACTGAGCCTATACCCTTTGCCCTGAGGTTGACCCCAGAGCAATACTCGGCCCGTGAGATTCGTCACCTAGACTTAATTTCACAGTTTTCCTACGAATCCCAACATACCTGGGGTAAAGAAGGTGTGGTCATTGATACCATATCACGAATCGATAAGGGCTTCATTACGACGAATATGTTTGCAAGGTCTGGCGTTTCGAGTATTTGTTTCGTCTACCCATCTTCAGAAACTGGGAAGCCATGCGCACAGCTTGCATTACATGGCGCACTTTGACGCGTGGTCCGCCAATGGCTCCTGTGTGGCTGCATCCGGCCGGCACGTCACCGTGACGTGAATCCCGCCCATCTTCTTCGGCCGCGGCGATAGTTTAATTTAATTTACTTAATTTTAATTTAATTAATTTAATTAAATTATTTTTATTAAAGACCCGTCGGGGTCCCATCAAAGCAAGTAAAAATAAATTTACATGCGAATTTTAGACGAGGTAGGCAAAATCTGTACAAAGTGCAATATATAGTTTTTGAGATTAGAATTCCGTTAAGAAAAATGATAAGCGAAGGGTAAAAAAATCCATTTGAAAATTTAAAAATGATTGGATTAATTTTACAGGAGAAAAAAAACCCTCGAAAAAATAGAATCAGAAAAATGCGGGCAGGACTGGCCTGCCGATGGCGGTATAGAATGGATTATAGTCGGGCATCAACAGGGCCGAAATAAATGTCAGCTGTATATGGCATTGTATAACAGATTTCATAAAGGGGTTAGTAGGCGGGTCTGTCAGGACTGGCCTCTATGTGGCCTTGAATAAGGCAAATAAGTGTCGAAATTGAAAACCAGTCTCGAGGCGATAGAACCCAGATGCGGTCGGTTACATTTAACCGAGTCCATCCGACGATGGGGCAAGGGAGATGTGACCAGACTACTAGTATATGGCAATACAGAAGGTTTCGCCAAGAGCATCGATGGAGCGCATTCTGTGAGGGCACGATGCATGAACTGAAAAATTGGAAAAATTAACGTTTCTGGTGAGGGATCTTAGGAAGCGAAACTACTCACAAAGGAAGGAAATGCGGACAGATACGGAAAATTACTGGCGGCATACTAAATTCCCGGTGGCCCTTTCTCAGTCTCATAGAAAAAGTTGTCTGGGAAGGAGGAGGAAAATAAAAGTTTAATCGAGTCAGTATTCAGATAAAGGTGTAGCCTTCTCATAAAGGTGCGTACATTTTCTGAAGATCTTATATCTATTGGAAGGTTATTCCAGAGGAAAGTATATCTGGAAGCGAATAAATGGGAGCGCTTAGAGATTGAGGACGCTGGAGGAGGTATAATCAAGGACGAGTTGCGTAGATTGTATGGGCGACTACTAGGGGTGAGTGCTGAAATCCGACGAAAATTTGAACTATGATTAATGCGAAAGAGGAGACAGAAGCCTGCTTCTAGTCTTCGAACCCATGAAAATTTTAGGTTAATTAGCTGGCATCTATCTGAGTAGGAGATATTGGGATGTTCCCTATCTAAAAGTTTTTTAGAAAAACGTCTTTGGACATTTTCAATTTTTAAACGACTGGCTTCATTCATCAAACCAAAGAATGGGCAACAATACTCGAGAATAGGAAGTACCAACATACGATAGAGCCTTAATTTAATTTCAGGTAGATAGAAATTGTAAGAAATAAAGCCACAAATCTGGGCAGCTTTGGCTGTAATTCTGTCAGCGTGTGGCGACAGATGAAGATTATTAGTGTAGCTTAAACCTAAACCCTTGATGGCGGTACATTCATTCATAGGTGTGCCTTGAAAGACCACTGGTTGGGGCAGCCTATCAGGTCCAAAACACATATAGCGACATTTAGACGGAGAGAATTCCATTAGAATTTTGAGCTCCAAGCTGAGAGAGCAAGCTAGTCAGCATGGATTTGCTCCAGACAATGAAGGCTCGTAGATTTTTTGAACG